CACGAGAAAAGCACATCTTCCTCCCCCTGCCCTGACCACTTTCTACAGGGGGAGGATGGAGAGCATCCTGTCATACGGCATCACGGTCTGGTTTGGAAGCATCCTTGCTTCAGACAGGAAGGCGGTGCAGAGAGTGGTGAGGACGGCAGAAAAGATCATGGGCAGTTCCCTCCCTCCCATCCAGGACGTAGCACAGAAGCGCTGCTTGAGCAGGGTCCGTAAGATTATCTGGGACACGACACATCCTCTTCACGACCTGTTTTCCTTGTTACCTTCTGGGAGGAGGGTGCCAGTGGGCTGGGGAATTCTGGGGCTGGCAGTCTCGGGGGGGTGGGGTGAAGAGCGGCTTCCAGGAGCACAGGGGTGGATGGGTGGGAGGGGACACGCTCACCTGACGTCCACCAGGGTGGAGGTGGTTCCCCTGGGGCTGGTCAGCGAGATGGCCAGATCCCCCCTCCGGCTGTAAGTGAGCCACAGTTGCACCTGGACGTGCTCCAGAGACCGGATGCCTCTGTTTCCCCTCTGGAGGCAGGGGGAGGACGAGACGTTCTCAGAGACGGACAGCCGGGAGCCGATGGCCCTGCCGGAAGACGGACAAAGGGGAAAGGGGGGTCCGGTTTAGGAGAAAGGGCTTAGATAAAGGTGGTCCTCGCTTTACGACCACAAGGGAGCCCCAAAGCACCTGTGGCTAAGTGAGGCGGTTGTTGAGTGGATTTTGCCCCATTTTTCACAACCTCCCTTGCCACGGTCGTTAAGGGAATCAACTGCAGTTGTGAAGTTAGTCACCCGGTCGTTAAGCGAATCCGGCTTCCCCCACTGACTTGGCTTGTCAGAAGGTCACAAAAGGGGAATCACATGACTCATAAATATGTGACACTTGCTTAGCAGCCAAATTTTGATCGTGTGACCCCGGGGATGTTGCGTAGCTCGTAACTGAAAAACGGCCATAAGTCCTATTTTTCAGTGCCAGCAAGAGAGATACGGAGGGAGGGAGAGAGAGAGAAGAAAAGAGAGACATACAGAGGAAAGGAGGGAGAGAGAGATGGAGGAAGGGAGAGAGAGATGGAGGAAGGGAGGGAGAGAGATACGGGGAGAGAGATCAATATGAGGGAAGGAGAGAAAGAGGAGAGAGATACAGAGGGATACGGGGGGAGTAGAGAGAGAAGGAGAGAGAGATGGAGGAAGGGAGAGAGAGGGAGGGAGGGAGAGAGATACAGAGGGAGAGAGATACGGAGGGAGGGAGAGAGAGAAGAAAAGAGAGACATACAGAGGAAGGGAGGGAGAGAGAGATGGAGGAAGGGAGAGAGAGATGGAGGAAGGGAGGGAGAGAGAGATACGGGGAGAGAGATCAATATGAGGGAAGGAGAGAAAGAGAAGGAGAGAGATACAGAGGGATACGGGGGGAGTAGAGAGAGAAGGAGAGAGAGATGGAGGAAGGGAGAGAGAGGGAGGGAGGGAGAGAGATACAGAGGGAGAGAGATACGGGGGAGGGAGAGAGAAAGAAAGATATTTATTTATTTATTTATTTATTGCTTCTATTTATATCCCGCCCTTCTCCTTACGGACTCAGGGCGGCTAACAACCAGATAAAAACTACAAAATACCAAAAACTACAGTTAAAACATGATTAAAAGACAAATATTAATAATTGGCCTAAGTAATTTAAAATTATTTTAAAACCCCCACTAAAAGTTTCCCCTAGGCCAGTCCCGCAAGCTGGAACAACCATGTCTTTAGGGCGCGGCGGAAGGAAGGGAGATCAGGGATGACCCTGATCTCTGGGGGCAGTTCATTCCAGAGGGTGGGAGCTCCCACGGAGAAGGCCCTCCCCCTTGGGGTCGCCAGCCGGCACTGTCTGGCCGACGGCACCCTGAGGAGACCCACCCTGTGGGAGCGTACAGGTCAGTGGGGGGTAATCTGCGGCAGGAGGCGGTCTCGAAGGTATCCCGGTCCGATGCCATGGAGCGCCTTAAAGATGATAGTCAGCACCTTGAAGCGCACCCGGAAGGCCACCGGCAGCCAATGCAGCTCGCGCAGCAGTGGTGTTACATGGGAGCGACGAGTCCCTCCCAACACCGCCCACGCGGCCGCATTTTGGACTAGCTGGAGCCTCCGGGTGCTCCTCAAGGGGAGCCCCATGTAGAGAGCATTGCAGTAGTCCAGGCGGGAGGTGACAAGGGCATGGGTGACTGTGCGCAAGGCGTCCCGGTCCAGAAAAGGCCGCAACTGGTGGATCAGGCGTACCTGATAGAACGCCCCCCTGGTCACGGCCGCCAACTGGTCTTCCAGTGTCAGCCGTGGATCCAGGAGGACCCCCAGATTGCGCACCCTTTCCGAGGGAGCCAAAGAGAGAAATACAGGTGAGGTAGAGAGAGAAGAAAGAGACATATGGAGGGAGGGAGAGAGAGATACGGGAGAGGTAGAAAAAGATATGGAGGAAGGGAGAAAGAGAGATATGGAGGGAGGGAGAGAGGGAGGTACAGAGGGAGAGAGATATGGGGGAGGTAGAAAGAAAGATACAGAGGGAGGGAGAGAGAGATACGGGGAGAAGGAAAGGTATGGAGAGAGATATATAAGGGGGAAGTAGAGGGAGAGGAGAGAGAGATAGGGAGGGAGGGAGGGAGATATATATGGGGAGGTAGAGAGAAAGAGAAGGAGAGGGAGGGAGGGAGGGAGAGAGAGAGAGAGAGAGAAAGGGAGAGAATCTTCCAGTGCTGTCTTACATTGGCTGGGAGACCACCTGAAGGAAGCACTTCCGCTGAGGCCGGATCCTCTGCCACCGCCTGGCCATCTCCACCAAGGCCCCGCCGTCCAGGAGCCCGTAGCCGTAGTAGTGGCTGACTGGAAGGAGAAGGACCAGCTCAGGGAAGACCCTCCCGGCCCTCGGACGCCCTCCCGGCCCGCTGGGCCCCCCAACAGCCCTCATGCCGCCCAGCGCCAGGGGCTCTTTCCCCGGAGGAGGAGCGGCAGGATGGTCCTGGGGATGCTGAGGAACGAGGGCTCTGCACAACGGCAGCCGGCCTGCAGACCCTCCTCAACTTATGACCATAACTGAGCCTGGCAGTTACGGTCGTTAAGTCTTGACGGAGTGGTCGAGGGATGTCCGCTCTTTGGAGGGGGGCCCAAAAGAGTCAAGAGGGCAGCCCCGACGGGGCCCTGGAAGCTCTGCCTGTTTTGATGTCTTTTATTTACGTATAAAATGTAGAGGCCACCCATCTTACCACAAGGTAAGAAGTGAATTGTACAGATAGAGCTTCTATTTATTTGTTCAATCAATCAATCAATCAATCAATCAATTTCTATAGCCACCCATCTCAATCGATGATTCTGGGAGGCTTACAATTCAAAAAATATTTCCCTTTCTCGCTCTTCCTCCTTCCATATCTTTCTCCTCTTCCTCTCGCTTTCTCTCTCCATCCCTCTCCTTCTCGTTTTCCTTCTTTCCCTCCCTCCATCTTTTTCTCTCTCCTTCTCTCTCTCCCTTTCACTCTAGCCCCATATCTCTCTCCTCTCGCTCCCTCCCTCCGTAGATCTCTCCTCTCCCTCCCTCCATCTTTCTCTCCTTCTCTCTCCCTTTCACTCTAGCCCCATGTCTCTTCCTCTCTTGCTCCCTCCCTCCATCTCTCTCCCCTTCCCGCCATCTTTCTCTCTCCTTCTTTCTCTCTCCCTCCATCTTTTTCTCTCCCTCTCCCTTTCACTCTACCCCTGTATCTCTCTCTTCTTCTCTCCCTCCCTCCATCTCTCCTTCTCTTTCCCTCTTTCTCCCTCCCTCCCTCCCTCTTTCTTTCCTTCTCTCTCTCTTTCACTCTACCCCCGTATCTCTCCCTCCCTCCCTCTCTCCTTCTCTCAGGAACACAGCCAGGTTTTCCGGGCCTTGGGAAAGGCTGACGGGCTTGGGGCTGTTCTGACCTCCCACAGGAGGCTGCAGAAAAAGCCCAGTTCAACGGAAACTTCGTGGCTGCCATCTTGATTCTGTCATTGTCGTGGCCCCACGGGGGTCTCCCGTGGCAGGCTGTGAGGACGCAGCCTCTGCCCCCTGAAAGCGGGAGGGCCCTGCCCGGAGAACCGCCGGGCTCCCGGCCTCACCTTTGCGCCCGGCTCCATTCACGACCCAGTCGTCCGCCTGCAGGTGAGCCGGGCTGGAGGCTCTCACCACCAGGTGCTGCATGTCCCTCCAGGTGAGAGCTGGGCTGGAAACACAAAAGGGGGGGGGGGAAGAGAGAGAAAACCATTCAGAGTTTCCCTATGTGCCCTGTGAGGTGGGAACGGGGTATGTGTGTGCAGGTCCACAGGTCTTTGAGCTCTGGTGCCATTGCACGGAATGAGGGGGCTTTCCTCCCCAAAATGTGGGGTGGGGAGGTGGAGAAGACCCATACCAGCCTGACTCGGGGGGGGGTGGAGAGCCCTGCGAGAAGAGTCTCTGAGAGAGCCCCCTCCCAAGAAGACCAGCTATCCCTGCGTCCAGCTTCAGTTCCTCTCCGGATCAGGGATAAGGATAGGCAGCTGGGTGTAGGGCAGAGGTAGGCAACCTTGGCTCTTTTATAAGACTCGTGGACTTCAACTCCCAGAATTCCTCAGCCAGCATGGAGGAACTATGGCTCCTTCATGACTCGTGGACTTCAAGTCCCAGAATTCCTCAGCCAGCATGGGGGAACTATGGCCCCCTCATGACTCGTGGACTTCAACTCCCAGAATTCCTGAGCCAGCATGGGGGAACTATGGCCCCTTCATGACTGGTGGACTTCAACTCCCAGAATTCCTCAGCCAGCATGGGGGAACTA